TTTTGCGTTTCTGTTCCAGCTTCAGCCGTCAGTCCAGCCGTCGTCACAGCCAGAACCTGAGCTCGGCCTCCAGCCTCCCACTCTGATCCAGAACCCCCTGCAGGACCAACACCAGCTGCAGCCTGCATCACAGTCCGACCAGCAGCACCAACCGAAGCCTCTGTGCAGAAACCTGCTCCTCCTCTTGCTGGGCTTCTCTTTATGTGCTGCCATGCTGGGAATGATCTACTACCTGCATCACAGTCGCCACACTGAGAACCAATCAGCAGCTGGTAGGTCCTCAGAGAAACATCAGACCCAGAGCTCCTCCATGCTGACTAACTCCTCTCCGCCTCCTGCAGTGTCTCCTTGCGTCTCTGCAGCCTGTCGCTCGGCCTCGGCTCGGCTGTCCTCCTCCGCTGATCCCTTCACTCAGCCCTGCGAATACTTCACCTCCAGATGTGGATCTGACAGCCTGTCGGAGTTTGGCGGCAGTGGCGGTGGCAGGATGAGAGGACAAGGAATCCCTGGACACCCTCAGAACCAGAAGGACCAGTCAGTGTGGCCCGAGAGGAGACGAGATGAAGGAGACAGAAGACAGACGGACAGAAAGACTCTGCTGCTGCAGCATCTCAGGGAGATATTAGGTCCGTCTGCAGAACTGTAATTAAAAATGTGAAGCACTGAACATTAGAGCTGCAACGATTCATCGATCTGTGAAAATTATGAAATTAATCTCCAATTCTTTTGATAATTGATTGCTGAGTAATTTTTTTAAATAAAAACTGTCTAAATTCTGTAATTGCAGCTTCTTCAATGTGAATATTTGATGGTTTTGTTCCTCCTCTGTGATCGACAAAACAGGACATTGTCATCTTGGACTTTAGGAGACAGATTTTTATTTTTGTTTTTTACAATTTTCTGACATTTTGGGGGGCAAACAGCTGATCGATTCGTCCACATGTTTCATCCAGTCAACACTTTACATGAAACCGATATGTGCATCATGTGACTGTATGATTTACTCTGTTTTTTCTGTGTCTCTCAGAAACCAACGACAGATCGAGCAGTTCAGCGGTTCAGAAGACCAGAAGGTTTTACAACTCCTGTTTGGACACCACATCCATAGAAATGACCGGAGCAGAGCCCTTCCTGTCACTCATCCAGAAAGTACGTGAATCATTTGATCGCTTTGTGAAGCGTGAAGGAAAAACAAGTGATCAGCACTTGTTTTTCCTTCACGCTTCACAAACCTGGGTTGGTCTTTAGGGAACTGCTCTCTATTAGAACCTTCTCTGTTGTCACAGCAAACATCTGCTGCTCTGCTGCCAGATTCAGTGGTGGTGGTGTTCCTCAGGGCTCTGTCCTTGATCCAGCATCACATCTCCAGTCAGGAACAACAGTTTACATACACTTGTAAGGACCGTGTATATCATGGCAGTCTTGAGTTTCCAGTAACTCCTATAAGTCTGAATGTTCCATGATGGAATCATTGATCCACTCATTAGATTCAGACACTACAGTGGGAAAGTCTGAGGAGCTCAGCAGAGGTCTGGAGAAGAACATCAGTGACTGGAACCAGTCAGAAGGTCACTTGGGGCCATTTCAGAGCAGCTTCAGATGAGCTGAGAGGCTGATGGAGAAGGAAGTTCTTCCTCTAGAAGCAGAACCTTTAAGCTCCACTAAAGTCTGCTGCTGGTCACATGGACAAAGAAAAGTCCTTCTGGAGGAAAGTTCTGGTCAGATGGAACCAACACTGAGCAGAACCATGTCTGGAGGAGAGAAGGTGAGGCCTTTAACCCCAAGAACACCAAACCTACCATCAAGCATGGAGGTGGCAGCATCATGCTCTGGTTCTGTTCTGCTGCCAGTGGACCTGGAGCTCTACACAAAGCATTCAGTCTGTCTGTATCTCTACCTGCTGCTACTCATTCAGTCTGTCTCTGTGTGCAGCTGGGAGGTTGGGCGGTATCCGGTCGGTGGAATCAGACTGATTTTAACTCCACTCTGAGCTCACTGATGAGAGACTTCGCCACCTTTCCCTTCTTCAACCTCTACGTAGGCAAAGACCCGAACGAAGTTTCCCACGGGTCGACCAGAAGATACATCCAGGTCGGTACCCGAAGGACAATCTAAAGTCCTGACATGCTGCTGTAAAACCCTCTTTGTGTTTAACTCCGATCTCGTCTCGGAACAGATTGATCAGCCGGATCTGCTGATCCCCATCGAATGGAACAGCAGGACGCAGAAGTCGGAGGCCAAAACTGAGGTGGAGGAGCTCTGCTGATTGAAGAAATACACAACTGTATTCCTGCACCCCACTGATGCATGTCGTTGTGTTTCCTTCCAGACTCTGCGTCCCTTCCTGGCGTCCTGTCAGAGGTATCTGGCCCTGCTGGGGGCGCCGCCGATGAGCAGCATGATCCACGTGGGCCTCTTCATCTCTCTGTCCTCTGAACTCGCTGTGGCGGCTTCACCTCTGCAGCATCGGCTTCAGAAAGGACAGCTGCACCAGCGCATGACCGTCAGAGAGCTGCAGGTGAACCGCAGTGAAGGATATCACTCAGCTGTTAATGTGACGAGTTTCGCTTCTGCACAAACCAAGCTGATCTCCTGAGGGTTTCCTTGTTAAAGGGGTTAAGAGGAAGTTTTGCTGATCCAAATCGAGGATCTGAGGTGTTGAACGGTGTCAAGAGAGTAAAGCCTGTTGAGGCAAAGTTGTGATTTGTGAAATCAGGCTATATAAATCATACAAACTGTATTTTGCACTGTTTTTTTCTGGTGGGTTTTGGACTTCTCCAGGGTTGTTGTTCGGACCTGATCCTGTTTGTGATATTCATGGATCTGTGGGTGCAGCTGGGTTGAGGAGGGTTCTGGTTTGGGAACCTCAGATACTCTGCTGTTTGCAGATGATGTGGTTCTGTTGGTTTGGTCAGACTGTGACCTTCGGCAGCACTGTGGCAGGACAGCAGTCAGCACCTCCCAGTCTGAGGTTCTGCTGGAAACCAGTGGAAGTGAAGGAGTTTAAGTGTTGGTTTAGTTTAATCTCTGGATTTGGTTCTCAGTGACGAAAGGTGAAGCTCTTAAACTAACCAGCCGATCGAACCCTCAGCTGTGGTCATGAGCTCTTAGTAGAGACTCAAAGAGCGAATGAAGTTTCCTCTGTCGGGTGAGGAGATCGGACGTCTGCACACTTGTTGCTCCTTCACATTGAAAGGATCCAGCTGAGGAAGATCAGATTCTGGATGCCGTCGTTTGTTAGTCTTCATCCAGGAGAATCCAGAACTCTCTGGAGGGACCACATATCCCATCTGGCCTGAGAACACCTCGGGATCCTCCAGGAGAAACTGGAAAACATTGCTGGGAGAGGAACACCTGGAGGGATCTGCTGCCACTGAGGGGCTCTGGATAGGAGGAGGAAGATGATTGGATGATGGATAGACCGATGTAACGATGAAGCAAATAAGGCATTTCTCTGCGTTTCCATAGCAACAGGCTCCCGCCATCGACTGGTTGGGATGTCTGCAGGCGGCCTTCCATCCTCGGACCCTCAGCGAAGACGATCCCGTCCTCCTCCATAACCTCCCCTACATCCTGCAGATGTCCCGCATCATTCAGAAGTGGCTGAACAGGCACGAGCTGAGTGGCAGGTACAGTCCCAGCCCACCATCCACACAGCTTCTGTTTGTTCTGTTCTGACCCGTCTCTGGTTCCTCCCAGTGGTCCGCTTCACACCTACATGGTCCTGAACCTGCTGCACACCCTGATGCCGGCGATGCCAGCAAACTTCTCTGCAGCTTTGGGCAACACTGAAGGGGTCAGTCAGCCCGTACAATAAAAGTTCACCATAAAAAGCAAAAACACTGGATGTGTGAACTGATTTGTTGGAGTCACGTCTTCCTCAGGAGGATCCTCGCTGGAAACTCTGTGTCCTGGAGACGGAGAGAGGATTCAGCTCGGTTCTGACCCACCTGGTCAGTGAGAGAACGGAACATCGACAGGTGAGGCCACGTCATCGGGAGACACGGTGAAGTCAGCAGAGATGGGAGCTGAATGAGAGTTAAAGATGTTTATCTGTTTATAACAGGCAGAGGAGATGATTCAACACGTGTTTTCCTCCTTCAAGTCCAAATTAAAGGAGCTCCAGTGGACGGATCCCAAGTTTCTTGAGCTCGTCATGAAAAAGGTAACGAGTGAGGCAAGAACTGTTTTTGTTTTTAAGGCATGAACCTGCATTTTATCTGCAGCTTGACTTCTTCTCCGTCCTCCTCCAGCTTGGTTCTTTAACTCCCAGACTGTGGACTTCAGAGGAGTCCAGTGAAGACGAGCTCGACCGGCTGATTTCTGAGGTACGTTTTCACATCAAACCCAAGTCGCCTGAAGCCACGACCCTCCTCAGCTGATGCAGCAGATCATGAATTTATGACGCATCTAATTAAGCATCCGCGGATCAAAACCTCCCGTTGATTCACTGCAGTAATAAACAAAGCAGCCGGTTTGTTTCAGGTGACGGTCGACTCAAACAGCTTCTTCTCCAACTACATCCAGCTGCTGTCGCTGTGGCAGAAGAGACGCAGCAACCTGCTGACGGAGAGCGAAGAGGCTGCTGATATGTGAGCATCTGTGTTTTAATCTGATCCAGAAGGGAGAGTAACTAAGTACATTTACTCAACTACTGCACTTACAAATATGAGGAGCTATAAAGTATATTTTTGAACTCTTTTGGATGAGCTGGATCATGAATGCAGCAGAAACACCAACAGCCCAGTCACTACTTTTGCTTCTGGTACTTGAAGTGATTGTTGACGACAGTAGTTTTATATTTTTTAGGGGTTTTGAATGCAGGACTTGAACTTGCAGCAGTTTTTTGGTGTTTTCCTGAACTTGAAGGATTCTTCTTCCACTGCTGCTGTGTTTTCTTGTTTCCTCCAGTCTGTCCGTCACGCCGTTGCTGCTCGGCGCTGAGCTCCTGTTTCCTCTGGGAATGTTCGTCCCTCCCCTGTTCCATCACACCTATCCCAGGTGAGGTGATCGACACGCACAGTTCATCAGATCATTTAGATAATTAAGCATATTGCAAACTCTCTTGTCGTTAACAGAGCCATGAATTACGGTGCGACGGGTTTCCTTTTGGCCAAAGATATCCTGCATCTGCTTCTGCCCAACAGTAAGAGACCTTCACTGTAAAATCATGTTTGTGGCACAAACACACCCTGGAATGAACGAGTGTGTCTGACAGAAGTTCACTGGTTTTACAAAATACAGTTAAAACTTATGTAAAGACAAAATAAAAATGTAAACAGGAAGTGTAAACTGAACTGAACATCAAATCTGATGCAAAACAACAGAAATGAGGCAGAAAATGACAGAAAACAAAAAAAATGAGACACAAAACGACAAAAATGAGACAGAAAACGACACAAACAAAATGCAAAATGCAAAAAGCAGACACAACATGACAACACAACCAGTTATACTGTAACGAACTGTTTCGGTAAATTCTAAAACTAAAATACTTCTGCCGGCATGTTGTTGTAGTTTCACACTAACATTTATTACAGTGCAGCAGATTTCCATAATAACATAAAACTGCATCGTCTCTGTTCAGTTCAGCTCTAAATGATTAATGATCAAATTGAGATTTGTAGGAAACATTTATTTACCAGGTTTCTTCTGATGACAAAAGTGACAAAACAAAGTTGTGTTGGAGACGTTAATGCTGAAGTTTGAGTATTTGCATGTTGGTTTTATAAATATTTTCTATTAAATATTTCACGCCCAACATTATTTCCAGGCAGAAGAGACGTCTGTTAAAATCCCAGTGTGGCACATTGATGAGTAATTACCTGCATGTTTTCTGTGCTGCAGTCTCGTCCCACAGCGAGTCGGTCAGCTCTGTGGGAAGCTGTGTGTGGACTCTCTACCAGAGTGTGAGCGAAGCAGCCGGCAGACGTGCAGCCTCGTCCCTGTCGCCGGCGCAGCAGCAGGAGCTGTGGCTGCAGTACTCGGCGCTGCAGGTCGCTCTGCAGGTGAGCAGTCGCCTCCAGGCTTCAGTGTTTAAACGTGACGGCAGCGTGAAGGCTGACTTGTTCTCCTCCTCCTCAGGCTTATCAGCAGAGTCTGCAGCAACGTCCAGGTGACTCGTCCCTGTCCGGCCGGTCTCACGCTCACCTGTTCCTCACTGCCTTCTCTCAGGTGATGCACCTTCCTCCCTACGCTCCGGTCTTCCTCTCCGCTGTAGATCACGTGTGATTTAACATTTTGTTCTGCAGGTAAACTGTGATGTTGACCCGTACCGTGACTTCATGCCCCTGGAGCCGTCCTTCTTCATCACAGTCATCTGCTCCAGATCCAACCTGTGTCCTGCAAACCTGCAGTGCTCCATCAAGCCTCAGCACGACTCACCACAAACCTGCTGAAAGGAGGACTTTACTGATGCAGACGCTGTCACAAAACGTCCATTTGAAGCTGTACAAAGTAACTGGGGATGCTGGCAAACTCTTGTTGCTGCAGAATGTACAACCCGAAACACATTTTTATATTATATTAGCCGTAGCTGTTGTTGAGATGTTTCTGCATGTTGCATTTATTGCACAAGTATTCATTTAAATAAAATAACAACATTGAACGTGTTTTTGTGCTTTACTTTCAGCAGAGGAAGAAAAACTTAAAAGATAATCAACCTTTTCTGTAGGAAAATGTCACGTGACTGATTTAATATCACAACAACCGGCGAACATGATTCGATCAGACGATTAACTGATGAAAAATCAACAAAGTTCTGCAAGAAATTCATGACCTTTGTCCTGATCTTTCATTTATTGTTAAATACTATATAATTCGACATCTTTGGGATTAAATGAAAACAACCCGAGCAAACTGCAGGAAAACACTGGTTTCATATTTACAGTGTGTAGTAATTTACAACCTTATATCTTCTGAGTGAATAATCTGTAAAATCTGAAGTTAAACGTGTTTTCTCTCTGGATTGTCTCCATATGTAAAGCATGGGCACCTCTGAGCCCAGGTTCTGTCTGTTGAGGTTCTGGAGCAGCTTTCAAACAGCAACTACAGAAAGTTGTTTTTCAAAATGTCACTGAATTAATTTAAAATCTGCCTTGAAGTGTTTGTGAGTAACAGCTGAGGAGTTTCCCAGATTCACAGAAATGCGAAGGAAAGCTGCAGCTACCAGAATGGCACAGAGGAGACCAGCTCCAATCACCGACCAGTTCAGAGAAAACGCAGCTCTGAAGCCGGTAAAACCCCCAGAAACACCTGTTCAGCCTCAGACAGGTAGAGGCCTCGGGAAGGCTGGAGCCAAGCGACTGGGCCGGCTGCTCAAACGGGCCATCAGGGGTCCGGAGGAGGCGACCGGGAAGAAGAGAGTCGCTCTGCCAAGTGAGTTCCAGTTACAGATACAGCTAAAGCTAAGCTATGGCTAAAGCTAAGTTACAGGCACTGTGATAGCTAAATTACAGCTGAAGCTAAAGCTAAGTTATATTTATAGTACCAGCTAAAGCTTAAGTTAAGTTACAGCTAAAGTCAAGTTATAACTGAAGCTGAAGCTAAGTTACAGCTAAAGGTAAAGCTAAGTTGCAGTCGCTGTCATAGCAAAAGTACAGCTTTTAGCTTAGCTGTAAGTTACAGTTAAAGCTAAGTTATAACTACAGCTAAAGCTAAGTTACAGTTAAAGCTAAAGCTAAGTTACAATCACAGCTAAAGCTAAGTTATAACTACAGCTAAAGCTAAGTACAGTTACGGTAACAACTGAAGCTAATGCAGTTATAGTCACAGCTAAAGCTAAAGTTAAGTTACAGCTAAAGCTAAGTTATAACTATAGCTAAAGCTAAGTTACAGTTAAAGCTAAAGCTAAGTTACAATCATAGCTAAAGCTAAGTGCAGTTACAGTAACAACTGAAGCTATACAATCATAGCTAAAGCTAAGTGCAGTTACAGTAACAACTGAAGCTAATTTACAGTTATAGTCACAGCGAAAGCTAAAGTTACTATTGCAGCTAAAGCTAAGCTACAGTCATAGCTAATGCTAAATTACAGTCACACTTCATGCTAAAGCAAGTTACAGTCACAGTTGCAGCTAAAACTAAAGCTAAGTTGCTGTTAAAGTCACAGCTAAAGATAAAGCTAAAAGTAAAGCTAAAGCTACAAATCAAGATAATGCTACAGCTAAAAATAAAGCTACAGCTGAGTTACAGAAAGAAAATCTGCTGCTCACTTTGGACTCAGTGTGTTTTTTATATGAATAATTTTGCAGAGTATTAACAGTTTTAAATTATTCAGGCAATTAAAACCCAGTAGGTTCCTCAGCCTATGTTAGTCAGGTTAATTATCTTTTATGTAGTATTGGGGGGTCTTAACCTTAATATTTCAATTAAATAAATGTTCATAGAACGCTGTAGGGTTTTAACCCTAAAATGTAAACTTTTTTACTCTAAAGCTGCTGCTTTAAATGGCTTTTTAATACCTGACCTGACTAATATTACATTTAATTATACATTCAGTAAATATGCTGATAAAAGTGAAATAAAGCAGACATGATCTCAGCCTCTCAAGCAGTAAACATGACAGATATTTATCCTGTTTTAATTATGCATTCTTATGTCCTCTATTCAGTATTTTTGTAACTTTCTTGTCTTGTAGAGACTCCTGTTCGCCTCCTGAAGCATCAGATCCAGACGGAGGCCGAGGCCCAGACGTCCTCGTCGTCTCTCCACGTCTCCCAGCTCATCCTCAACGTGGTGTCTCAGTGCAAACACCAGGGAGGGATCTCGATGGCCGAGCTGAAGCAGACGCTGGCCGCTGGAGGCTACGACGTCTCCAAGAACGGCAGGAGGCTGAACGTGGAGACCAAGAGGCTGGTGAACAACGAGACGCTTGTCCGGACCACGAGAAACACCACATTCAGACTCAACAACAAGGTGAGACGCGTTTGACTCGCTGACGTGTTAATGCAACAGGTCTGGTGTTAGTTAAAGCTGAATATGGCACTGCTGTCATTATAGTTTATACATGTGACTAAATGTGGACTCTGCAGCAGTTTTCTTCCTCGAGCGTTGCAGTGTCGACTACAGCTGAACAATTAATTGGTGTCAAATATCGAATTGCAATTTTTCTGACAGGTTTTGCGATTGGGGATGTTCTGTTTAAGGCTTCAGTTCAATATTAGTTGTGTAATGGAGCAACGAGACACCATCTTGGATGAATCAATCAGCTGTTTGGGCTCAAAAATGTCTGAAAATAATGAAAAATGTGAATCAGTTTCCTCAAATGTCCTATTTTTTTCCAAAGATCTTCAGTTTACTGTTATGAAGGGAGAAAGAAACCAGAAAATATTCACATTCACAGAATTTACACTGTTTTTATGAAAAATGACTCAAGCTGGATAAATCGATGATCAGAATAGTTGGACATTAATTTAATAGTTGACGACTTGGTTTGTCGTTGCAGCTCTAGATGAGAACTTAAAGACCTGAACTGCTTCCAGCATGTATTTATTATGTTTTTAAAAGGCACAAGAGGCAGAACAAAGTGAAAGTGATCATTTAAATAAAGTAATAACAGTAAAAATTTAAATGTTTCCAATAAGAAAATAGTAGGAGCTTTGTGTAAACAGTGAAACAGCTCATTACTGCACTTCAATAAAGGATAATAAGAATAAAAATAATTAAACTCTGGGTCAGAGGGACAGCTTCATGAATATCCTGAATTAATGATTTGTTCATTTCATTGTTCCAAATTGGGATTTTAAGACAGTTTAAACAGTCGTGCCAGCGGTTTCATAAATATTTGCTCTGTGTGAGAATCAGAATTCTGATGGCGTCTCCAGTCGTTCTACATCTGTGACAAATGCTGAACTGAAACTTCATCACAACATCTGTCAGAAAAAAAAATCAATATTTTCTCTAACATTACAGTAACTTACAACCTTTTATGTTCTATTAAAAAAATCAGACGCTGACAGACACGATGCGAATCAGGACGATCCCCGCCAAGCCACGAGCGGCGAAAGAAAAGCCGAAGCAGCCCCCGGCAGTTCGAAGATCCCCGAGGGGAGCCGCGAAGACCAAAACTAAAGAGCAAGCAGCCGCCATGTCACGCAAACCAGCCGCAAAGTCACAAAGAAAACCGCCAACGCCTGCTGGGAAGAAACGCAGACCTGCAACCAACACAAGAGGACGAGTTCAGAAGGTGGCGAAGAAGACCGGAAGAACCAGGACGCAAGAACAGGTCCAACGACGGAGAAGACAACCAGCAAGACGCTGAGACGCCGACAGAAGGGCTCGGCGCTGATGTCGAACAGCAATAAACCTTCAGAGCAAACCTCAAACTGGATGGATGGAGTTTGTACAGAACAAAAATCACTCATTGTTTAGTCAAATATTTTTATGTAACTCACACAATAACCCAAAACTCAGAACTTGATAATGGTATAAAAAAAAAAAAAAAGAAACAGTCTCAGAGAGCAGAGAACGTCCCACATGGAGCCCAACGTCCATCACAAACACATTCAGCACAGCGTAGAGCAGGACAAATGTCTGTAGTCCAGTGTTTGTAGTCCACTGAGACAGGTGTGTAGTCCACTGAGACAGGTGTGTAGTCCACTGAGACAGGTGTGTAGTCCAGCGTCCGTCCAGGTGAGCAGATTATAATCGTTCCGTCACTTGACGCCCCAAACCTCCTCAAAGGCAGAACACATCTTGGCACAGGTAAGTGCTGCTGAGAGAGGGTAGTTGCTGATGGACACGGTCCTCTCTGTGTAGTCCACGTTCACCTGGGCAGCAGCACAACACAGGATTAATACAGGATTTATATGGGATTAGCACCTGGAACCTGTGAACCTGGGGCTGGTTTGATAGATCGCTTCACTGAAATGCAGGAGCCCTCTGAACTCAGAGCAGTTTCTGGGCTTGTTTTTCTCCACAGAGGTACAGTACAAGCACCTTAGGAGCTTTAAGTGTATTTAAAACAAAAATATTTAAAACAAAATCACAATTCCAGGATCCATTTCAGTCCAAACATTTTGGGTAAAACTACAACGTTGTCTTATCCTCGTCCTCGGGATAAAAAATTTGGCAGTCTGGGTTGCTAGGCAACAGGAGACGAAGCCACAAGACGTCCATCGTAGGCTGGACCGTCTCGTTTAACAGACGCACAGATGCAGCCACACGTCCTTGAAAGGACGCAGACTCTGAAGGACGTCTGGTTCATGCAAAACTTTTATTTTTCGTTTAAATGAGAAGAACGAGGTGGTCCTGATGCAACCACGTCACAGATCATTACAGAACAAAGCTGATCATCTTTACAGTTCGTCTGGTTTTTACAGTGTTTTGCTGATAAATGGAAGACTTTTTAGAAAACAACTTGCCTTCGACAATCATTAGTGTTAAAAACCTTCATATGATTGAACTGCGTCTTCTCACCCGTTGTGTCGTCAAACCGTTCAACACATTTATTTGTTTTTTTACAGGATCTGCTGCAGATGTTTTATTTTTGGATCATTTTATGAGACATGCAGTATAAAGTGATTTTGACTAACAGGATTTTAAGCGTGGATCTGTTTCTATTAAGAATCATTTTTTCTGCAGCCCAAAGCCATTTTTCTCACACACTGTTTAACACGCAGTGATGACTTGTTTGTGGCTATATTTATTATATTGATTCCTTCTTGATGCAGCACTCGGTGCTTTTTGATCCATGCAGTGATGTCTGGTTTGACACGTGCATTTTGTCCTGTCACAGTTTCCATCTTGTGTCGACGGAATGCTGTTTCATTTTACTACGTCCACGTATTTATCGTTCTAAGGCTGTTTTTTTGTACCTGCGCAGGAACAACAGATGCAAATTAGCTGCTGGCTAACTCGCTAACTCAGGTGTAGGTTTAGTTTTGTGCTTACCTGTAAAAATAAATGCTAAAATAAAAACATGAGTAAATATAGTTTGTGTGTAGAGTTGGAGTTACAGTAAAGTTGATTGAAGGTTGAAAACCAACAAATTCTGGCTGATAAATGTTGTGATTTTGGTGAAAACTTGACTTTTAAAGGTTCAGAGGGTTAAAACAGATCATTAAAGACGACCAGTAAGTATCAGTAGACGCTGTCTAAACCCGTCTCTCACCGCTCCGTGTGCAAACGCTCCGATCACCACAGCAGCAGGGCCTTCGGGAACCAGAGTCCTGGGACAGACCGGTTCTCCTGCAGAGAAGGAGGTGGAGATCCGAGGGCAGCCGGGGGGCAGGTGGTCCGACACCGGGTTCTTAATCATCCTCAGCAGCTTCTGAGGACCGTCGGCGGCCCGAACGCTCAGCTTGTGCAGCAGCTGGACTGAAGGGAGAGATGAGGAGGAAACACCTGACTGAAGAACTTCTGTTGGTTCTCCTGGAATTTGTCACCTGCATGAACATGTCAATGGAGATTTACCCATCAGGCCACAGAAGCGGGTGAAGGTTCTGGGGATTCGGGTCTGCGGGTTGATCTCAATCAGGGCGTTCTTCGCTGTGTGGACGTAAACCTGCAGCAGTCCAGCCCGGTTCAGAGGACTGTCCATCAGCATGAGCAGGCACTGAGGAGCAGAACCGAGCAGAACCACAGAGAGCCCAATGTGTTTATGCATTAGAGAACTGGACTAAATCCCTGATTTATAAGGAACACAACAAACACATCAGCATGTTTGTTTACCTGGTGTGTGATGTCAGGTCGGATGTGTGTGTTGTTTACCTGTGTGTGTGTGTTTGTTTACTTATTTGTTTACCTGGTGTGTGATGTCAGGCCGGATGTGTGTGTTGTTTACCTGTGTGTGTGTTTGTTTACTTATTTGTTTACCTGGTGTGTGATGTCAGGCCGGATGTGTGTGTTGTTTACCTGTGTGTGTGTTTGTTTACTTATTTGTTTACCTGGTGTGTGATGTCAGGCCGGATGTGTCCCGGGTCTCTGCCGCTTTTAACGATAATATTTTTGTGTTGGTCGCAGTTCAGCAGTTCGAAGGTTTTTCCCACCTGAAGGAACAGCAGCAGGTTTTTAGTTATTAGTTACAGATGTTGTGGCAAAAACTGATTTTAGTCCACAAACGCAATTATCTTCATGTGTCTACACAATTTTACCTCCTCTGTGTTCTACATGAACCAGTTCAGTCATTTTTTACCCGCTGAAATGGCTGTAAAAGGACCAGTTCAACTGATTTAATGCCATTTTCCACCTGCCAGAAAGTGACTGTAACACCTAAATTGCAACTGAAATGTTGATAATGCATCAAAATGACTTGATTTCAATCATTATTTTCATTGTTGCTTCATCTGTTGAAGACTTTCTGGCTCAATTCATGAGTCTTTTGGTTTGTAAAAAGTCAGAAATGGTGAAAAATGTTGATCAGAATTCCTCAAAGCTCAAGATGACGTCTTCATATGTCTTGTTTTGTCCACAACCCAAAGAGATTCAGATTAGTGTCATAAAGAATTAAAGAAACTACAGAATACTCAAATTTATTCTCAACAAAACTACTAAAACCAATTAAATCAATGATCAAAAAAGTTGGTGATAAATGTAATAGTTGACGAAGTGATTGATTATTCATTGCATCTCAAGTCTAATCATAAACATCAGGCCTGATTAAAACTGTAAACATTTCTGTGGTCACAACTATTTAGTTGCCAGAAACGTTAATTTTCACAAAACAACCTTTTCCTGTCACAACAGTGTGTATTATCATGTTATGACTGTTTGATCCACATACAAGCAGCTGTACATGTGTGTAAACTGAGTTCGGTGAGTTTTTGGGAGCGGATCACGTGTGACCCACCGGCGGCAGGTAAAGCCCAGAACCGACTCACCTTGACGGTCTCCAGAGACGCCCCCTCCAGAACCACCACCAGCCGCCTGTCCGCCATCCGCTCATGCAGGCTGCGCTGCTGTTTGGCCGCTTTGGGCTCATATTCGTCCAGATGCTCCAGACCACGCTTCTTACCGGCCATCATGCTCCTCCGCTGCACGGGCGCACAGTGGCCACGTCACCGCACAGACCGCCCTACGTCACTGCCGTGCGCCGGATGTTCTGCTACAACGTGTTGAGCTTCATTCACGTGTGGTCGTTTTCATCCTGCAGTTTGCCGTCAGAACCTGGATCTGAGTTATCGGTGAGTGTCTGAAGGTTTGTTTCAGAGATATGAATGTGTTATTCTAACGGCTGCAGTTAGTTACGGAGAAAAGTGAGTGTGGAAACTTTGATTATTAGAGAAGAGCGCTGCTCACACGATACTGAACATGTAGAAGTCCTGTAATACAAACAGGCTGCAGGCGAGTCTCAAAGTCTGCCGGCCTGTCACAAATGTAGATTTATAGCGAATTGTTATGTGACCAACAGCTTCCTTTTGGCTGGAAATGACATAAATAAGAGATGTTATGGCACCTTTGAACTGTGCTATGTCCAAAATTCATAGTCCTTGAAATGTGTGAAAAAAATCCTATGTTGTTCCAGATGTTCCTGCTACTTTCTACCATGTTCCATTACGTTCTTAATCCACTATAAAGGTAGAACAGCTGATGCAGTAGTTCTGTCAGTATTCCAAAGAGCCCAGGTAGCTGCTGTTGGGGTCCATCACTGAGAGAGAGCTGCACGTTGCTGCTGCTCACAAGACGTTTAAAGCCTATAAAGTCACATCAAGAGTTTTCAAGGTTCACAGTTTGAAGCTTCGTGAAGAAGTCCAAGGAGCTCCTCACTGTGGAACATGTCAAAGGGCTGCAGGAGGACAGACGTGAGCCCTGCGCTGGAACAATGGTGGAGGCCCAGAAGAACCCAAGGACCAGCACCAAGAGCATCCTGATGGATGTGAGCAGTTCTGCTAGCAACATGTCCATCAGACACTCCAGCAGACCAACAACAAGGCTGGTCTCCATGGAGACAAGGAGGATCCACTTCTCCAGGACTGAGAAGAAAGCTGCTGCTCGTCACTTCATGAACACAGACAAAGGAGAAGCATCCAAGGCCAAGAGCAGCATCCCCACGGTCCAACGTGGTGGTGGAACGTGATGCTTTGGGCTGCTGTTGAGCCGACGGACCAGACAGCCTGGTCCGAGGAACCGGCTTCATGAGAACAGAGGAGAACATCAGGAGGTCTGCAGGAACACTGCTCCTTGGGCAGCAGTGGAGCTTCAACAAGATGATGATGTGAAACACGCAGCCCAAGTAGTGAAGAAACGGTGAAGAGGAAACAATGAGGAGATGTTGGAGCAGCCCAGCCAGAGTCCAGACCTGAATCCATCCAGAACCTGTTGAGGAACCCAAGAGCAGAGTGATGGAGAGGAAGCCTTCAAGCTCCAGGAGCTGCAGATGGACACTTGGAGGAACCAAATCCCAGAAACACTGTTGGACACTAGAACAGCTGATGTGGAGCAAAATAAAGCCTCTGATGAGTGAAGAAGAGGACGAAGACGTTTGGATGAAAACATCATGAACATCTCAAACACAACGTCTGAGTTTAGTCTCTGGTTCATGTCATTTACAGCCGAACCTGTTGGTCAAATAAATGTTATAAATCTGAACTTTTCATAATGAAGAAAAATTTGGGGCTGAACTGTTTGTATTCAGCGTCCTCTCAGACTCTGATGAAATTTCTAGTTTTGCTAGAATCCTCCATAAGACATGTATATTATACACAAGGACATTGCTATTTTCTACAGCCTTTGAGCACATCGTCTGTTCTTCAGGCTATAGTTCGGAGCTATGGGTCGGAAGTTGGATCCCACCAACAAGGTGAAGAGAGGTCCGGGGAAGAAGGCCAGGAAGCAGCAGGGAGCAGAAACTGAGCTGGCAAAGTTTCTCACTGATGGTCAGTATTCAGTTCTTCACTCACCAAAATCCCTGCATGTTTATGGAGCCTGAAGTTCATCGATCTCTGTGCTGCATCATGTTCATCACAGTGATTTTTTTTTTCTTCCTCTTTGCAGAAGAAACTGGACCAAAGCGTTTGTCCAGTCGAGGCAGGAAAAGGTGAGAGATGCACCGATCGCATCATGAGCTAACGTCACCGTGTCTGTCAGCTGCTCAGTCATTCTGTCTTTTTTTTTTTTCAGAGCTGCAAAAAGAGTCCAGAAGAAGTCTGCAGCCGTTACAGAGGAAAAGCCCAAAAAAGGTAAAACAGCAGCAGTCAGTGTCTCAGCAGGTGTTGATGCTGCTCACGGAAACCCTCAATAATCGGCACAACATTTGTAAACACATGGGTGTGATCAGACATGTAATTCATGGAGGTTTCTGTTATTACGGCTTTGTAAAGGATGTTATCTTTAGAAACTGACAGTTTTTTTTCCATTGTTCAGCCAGAAATTGTAAAAACGGCAAGAATTGTTGAGATGATCAACTTTCTAGCGGATCTTGAACTAGCAGTCTGGCGTCTGAAATAATCTGAAATCACTTTATTCTACATTTCGTGATAAACAAAATGCCCAAAATATAGCATTTGCATAAACAACATCAGTTTTCAAGTGAACTACAGGCAGTGTTTCCACTCCACCTTCTCTGTGATGGAGCTCTGGTTGGTTGACGTTTGTGAAAGCTGCTACTTGATGCCTTTCGTCTGTAACAGGAAAATCCTAAAAGTAAAAACCTGTGATGTTCACCGTGTGTTTGTTTCTCTCTAAAGGATTCACTGATGAAAACAGTAAATGGCTGAAACCGGCGAAGAGAAAACGCAAAATCGACGAACCTGAAGACGCGGACGACAGCGATGAGCACTGGGAGGAGGAAGATGATGATGAAGAGGAGGAAGAGGAGCTGCTGCAGAAGAAGAAAGACCAGGGAAAGAAGGCTGGGAAAGTAGGAGTGAAGAAGGTGGAGGAGGAGGAGGAGGAGGAGGAGGAGGATGACGATGATGAGGAGGAGGAGGAGGAGGAAGAGGAGGAGGAGAGCGATGACGATGATGAAGAAATGGTTGATGACTACGGTACGCTGGATGACGGAGACGAAGCAGCAGCAGAAGAAGAAGGAGACAGTGATGGAGAGGATGTAGGTGAAATCAGCACTTTGTAAAGGAACTAAAACTGTGAGGAGTTAAACTGTGAACCTGGAGCTGCAGATATTCACCGTTACAACTGCAGATTTCTGAATTTAGGAGATGTGGAGATCTGAATGTTCCTTTTTGTCTGATTAAAGTTCAGGTTTCTGCAGTACAGACGTGGATGTTAAATGTTAAAACAGCTGCTGTGCCAGTTGCTCCATGACGTGTACATCCATGGACGTGTCTCATTCAGTGACTCCTGTGTTTTGTTTTTTAGCTTCTTCCCATCGAACGTGCCGCCAAGAAAGATAAGAAGCTGAAAGAGGCCCTGGATCTAGAGAGCGATGACGACGAAGAGGATGATGACGACGACGACGATGATGATGATGATGAACAGAAATCAGATGCTGACGAGGACGACACGATACAAACCAACACAGATGAAGGAGATAAATTCAGGCTACCGGGAGCAGAGGAGAGCGAGAAGGAGGGTGAGTGGATTCTAAAGACTTCAAGAAAACGGCCAAAGTTCCTCCATTTATTAATCCATTAATCTGTTAACTGACCTGTGACGTGGTTTCATCTGGAAAATTAACCAGATCGGAGCTTTAAATTGTGATATTTCGTCAACGTTGTCCCATTTTAAAAAAAGATTTTCTATGAATGACTCAGCTCCGACCAAAAGTGAAATTTAGTTTAAAATTTAAGGTAGTTGACGTGCGGAGTGGAGTGGAGAGGTTTGTAGACACTGAAAAAATAGAAACAGGTAAATATCTGTAGTGTGTAGACACGACGTGACGACAGAGAGACACAAGCAACACACAATTAAACACAAAATGAGAAAAACCAACACAAACTGAGAAAACTGACACAAGATGAGAAAAACGAAACACAAAATGAGAAAAAAAAAACAAACACAATGAAAAAGAAAAAGATACACAAAATGAAATTGAGACAAAATCCGCAAAAGCGAGACTGAAAATGGGAAAAAATTAATCCCAAAATGAAAAAAGAAGGAGGGTCAGGATTTCTATTGCAGTTAGAAATGAAGAAAGAAAAAGAAAGACGAGGCAGCAACTGTTTGTTGAATCAGGATTTGTTCTGTTCTTCCAGCAGCTCGAGCTTCTTCCTCTGTTGTGTTTCAGGTGTCATGCCTCTGGACCTAAAGACGATCCACCAGAGGATCAAAGACAACATCGACGTTCTGTGTAACTTCTCCACCAAGAGAGAACCGGGCAAGGACAGGAGCGAATACCTCAGCCTGCTGAAGAAAGACCTGTGCACCTACTACAGCTACAACAGCTTCCTGATGGAGAAGTTCATGGACCTGTTTCCTCTGTCAGAGGTCAGTCTGCAGCATGTTCCCATGAATCCAGCATCGTTAAGAGGGACTGACACCAGCAGGAGTTTGAATGAGTTCACTTTACCGTCTTTCTTGTCTCCAGCTGGTTGATTTCCTTGAAGCCAATGAAATCCACCGACCTGTCACGATCAGGACCAACACGCTGAAGACGAGGAGGCGGGACCTGGCTCAGGTAGCTGCAGACGTGGATTAAAACATCAACTCAGAATGCAAAATACGTTTCATCCAATTCAGTATTTTTGTAGGTTAAGAAGAAATTAAGCAGAGTTTTGTGTCCAGACTTCAACAAAACGTAATGAAATATAAAGGAACTAGATGAGAAAATGCAGTTGACAAGGAAACAGAGTCGTGTTTTTAGAACAACAGCAGCAGGATAAAGACGAGTGACAGGTTTTTATTATTTCCCAAATTCTCCTGGCCTCGTCGTACGCTAACGTAGCCCTCTACCGCCTGGTGGAAGGACATTTATTATATTAGAGATGCTTTGAGGTGCTTAAATATTCCAATTTCTGCTGCTTATTCTTTGCTGCTGGTTATTTTAAAAACTAAGATTTTAAAACATGATAGTAGTTTATAAACTCACCACACAGTGTGTGATTAAACCAGCAGTTCCAAACCTTTTTTTTAATTTCTTTTTTTTGGCTTGTCATGTTCCGATGTGTCTCTAATGGTTTCATTTACTGTTTCAAACCAAAACAGATCAAATAAACAAAAGGCAATTAATATGAGTCCATTTTTCCTCCATGATTCACCTCAGATCTCTCTTGTGACCAGGACTGCACCTCAGTCGAGTATTTTCTGGATTAATCAATTTACTTTTTGGTCCATAAAATATCAGAAAAAAGTGAAAAAGTATTTCCCAAAAAGATGACAAACGTCTTGTTGCGTCCACAAACCAAAGATATTCAGTTTTCTATCACAGAGAATGGAAAGGAACCAGAAAATACTCCCTTTTTTTTTTTTTTGCTTAAATAATACAAAAAACTCAAAAACAATTGGTGATTAATAAAAAAGTCAGTTGATTTTAATTGATTATTTATTGCAGCTCGCAGCTATAGAATCTAGTTAAAGCAGCTTTAATCTGTATTTTTATGACATATCTAATGAATGTGGATGTAAAGTTATCGTCTGATCTGCAGCTGCTCTCAGTTTATATTTAGAATACAAGAATACAGTTTGATTTTAGCTCCTCATCAGGTGTCTGGAGTCACGTTTACTTCATCGATGTGTGTTTTATTCCATTCAGGCTTTGATCAACAGAGGAGTGAACCTGGATCCGCTGGGAAAGTGGTCCAAAGTGGGTTTGGTGATCTACGACTCCTCGGTGCCCGTCGGTGAGTCTCAGAGCGTCGGCGCCGAACGTCCGACTGCAGCCGGGCGACGTTTAACCGTTCTTCTTCCCGTGTCTTAACCAGGTGCGACTCCGGAGTACCTGGCCGGTCAGTACATGCTGCAGGGAGCCTCCAGCTTCCTGCCCGTCATGGCTCTGTCTCCTCAGGAGGGCGAGCTGGTGCTGGACATGAGCTCGGCGCCGGGAGGGAAAACCACCTACATCGGTAAGAACGGCTGCTTCTGCATGAGAAATAACAGAAATATCATCAAGATCCAAATCACAGGAGCTGCAGGTTGTAGGGGAAAGACTTTAGAGTCCAGCACTGAATAGAAATAAAGGCTTCAGACGGGTTATTTAAAGATAATTTACTGCCTTTCTCGTCTTTACTGGTTAACCTGCAAATTAGACAGAAGAGAAGTGAATCCGCTGCACTTCAATGAGTAAAATATATAAAAATTGCATTTAATCCAAAGATATGAGATATTTTCACTCAATAAACATGAATAAAAACACATTAAATCCATTTAAATGTCCCAGTTCAACCGTTTGAAGCTGCAGTTTGAGGTTTAAAAGTCAAATGTGGAGCAAATCGGATTCTCCAGACTAAAGGAAGCAAAAATCACTCTTATGCATCGTTTTCATTTTGTTTCGGTCAAAAAGCAACGAAAACAAATCTTGACTTATTTGGTGCGTTCAGCTGTATTACAAACACAAGTACTGAAGGCGTTTGGCGTTCCTCCTGTAGCTCAGCTGATGAGGAACACCGGTGTGATCGTGGCGAACGACGCCAACGCCGACAGACTGAAGAGCGTCGTCGGAAACATCCACCGTCTGGGCGTCACCAACACCGTGGTCAGCAACTACGACGGCCGGCAGTTCCCGAAGGTAACGAACGGATGGGATGACAAATTAAACACTAAAAAATATGCATCAAAGACTGAATTCATCTGCAGATAATAAAAAAACAGCTAGAATTTTGTAAAGATGTTTGTGTTTCGCTGTTTTTGTATCACGTTTTTATAGTCGATGCCAACGTTGATCTAAAAAGCCATAAAAATCTTCTTAAAGTTTGTATATTGTAAATCTGAGATTCACAAGTAGAAAGAAATAGATTCGTAAACAGGTTTTTGAAAGTTTACGAATGTCGTCTGGTATTTTTTTGTTTGTGGCGTTTCTGTGTTTGCAGACCTGTTGAATATTTCAGAGAGTTTGTATCGATTATGTCTGTATTCCTGGAAAGTGTTCATACATCTACACACAGATTAATATTCTAATTAACAACACTGAGACGGGACACATGATGGTGAGGATCAGGGTTCAGGTTCATGTTCTCTCCTGCCTACAGGTGATGGGAGGCTTCGACCGAGTCCTGCTGGACGCTCCGTGTTCCGGCACCGGAGTCATCGCCAAAGATCCGGCCGTGAAGACCAGCAAGGTGAAACACCTGCTGCAGATCGTGTGCACACCTGTCCAGGTGCGGTACAGTGTTCGGTTTTTTACAGCGTTATTCTGCTTCTTGACAGGACGAAGCAGACATCAGACGCTCGGCTCACCTGCAGAAAGAGTTGATCCTGGCGGCCATCGACTCCGTGAACGCCGAGTCGTCGTCGGGAGGATACCTGGTCTACTGCACGTGCTCCATAACGGTACGGGGGAGCTCACAGCGGGTCTCAGTTCAGGACATGTTTACCTGAGAGGTTAATACGAAGCTGTATTAGTGAGACGGCAGGTATGTGGGCTCTGAAGTCGGAGCTTTAGGTGTTTAAGCATGTTAGAAGTCATTTATAGCTTAATGCTTCATAGAAAGGCTTCAGTCGGCGTTAAACTGCAGAATAATGAAGGTTCTGTGTGAATAAATCGACTTCAGGGTCCAATGGTGACGGACTGTAACCGTAACGAGGTAAATGGGCGCAAAGAAAGGCTTCAGACTGTTTATTTTACTGTAATATTACCTTTATATTTGATTGTTTTTTCATCCTTATAAGTTAAAACTCAGATTAGACAGAAGAAGCTGATTCACTGTGAACAAACAGCAGCTTTTAAGGTTTCCTTCATGTTGCTCTGAGCGGACATGAATCGATCGACACAACTTACATGTGGAAACAACAACTCTTGCGTCATCGGTTTGGTTTGTTTCAGATTCGTTATACATCCCTCATATGTTTGCTGTATTCTTGTCTTAACATTTACGTCCATCAGCAGCAGCTTAAATGAGCAAAATGCCTCAAAATTACATTTGATTTAAAGATAAAAGCGACTTTATGTGATGAACAAACAGGCTGCATGTTAGGAAAAAAAAAGTGTGACTCGAAAAACTAGTCTTTTTTAAAAATCTTTTTCACACAATAAAGATGCATAAAAACATGTTGATCCATTAAAATGTCACAGTTAAGGTATAAATAATGTCACACGGTGTTCTTATAACATAATTGGTTGTGGTCCAGCAGAACCTCTCCTGTGATGTAGTTAGTGATGAGATGTTCTTCTACCAGGTGGAGGAGAACGAGTGCGTGGTCGACTACGCTCTGAAGAAGCGGAACATCAAGCTGGTTCCCACCGGGCTGGACTTTGGCACAGAAGGCTTCACCAGGTGAGCGAGGCGAGCGGCTGTTTGAGTTCCCGAAGACTAAAAACTCTGACCTTCAAACTCTAACCTGCGTCTCGTCCTTTCAGGTTCAGAGAACGTAAATTCCATCCTTCTCTGAAACTCTCGCGGCGGTTTTACCCTCATTCCCACAACATGGACGGGTTCTTCGTGGCCAAACTGAAGAAGTTCTCCAACGTGATCCCAACTGCAACAGCAGGAAAAGGTAACATCAACTATCCTAACTGTGCACCTGAGGGCTGCACTACAAAGCCAGATTAGTGGGTCAGGAGGTATGCTGAGCCTGAAGTAAGAGCTTTCAGTGTCATGAAGGTGGCTCTCTTTTTTTATCTGGCTACACGGTAACTGACGCTGTGGACCTACATCTCCATGGTAACTGATGCTGTGGACCTACATCTCCATGGTAACTGATGCTGTGGAGCTAGATCTCCATGGTAACTGATGCTGTGGAGCTAAATCTCCATGGTAACTGATGCTGTGGAGCTACATCTCCATGGTAACTGATGCTGTGGAGCTACATCTCCATGGTAACTGATGCTGTGGAGCTAGCCTGGTCGGGAGCAGGTTATGTTCAGAGTTTAGATTTAAATCGGCTGAAAGAGCGTCTCCCTTTAACCAGATGGTTTCCTGACTATTATTTATGAGCGACACAGATTCTCCACCGAGAGAATGTGTTTTATCTGCTAACATGCTGAGTTGTGTGTTACTAATATCACTGAATGACTGATTACTGCCAGTCAGAATCAGAAACACTATTGATCCTGAAGGAAAATTATTTAACTTACAGTCGCTTCTCTTCAAAGTCTTAGAAATTCAAGCAGCAGAAAAAACACAAGATTAACATGAGCAGAAAAATATGTCAAAAATATAAACATAATTAGAAAAGTACAAGCGTAAAATATGAAAATGTGCATTATTCAAGGAAAATATGAGTATTGGTTAACAGTGTAATGACCCGTAGAGGTTAGGGCCTGTTTTGGCCGTTGTTGCATACTTATCGTTTTGTCTTTATCTCCCACATAGAAACATGTTTACTGCGCTCATGTTTGGTGTCTTTTTTTTCAGCACAACATCCTTGATATGATCTGACTGTTATTTTTTTTTCGCTTGGATCTACTATGTTAACATTTTCGGCTCAAAAACACACAAAAATATAAAATCTGATTTGAAAAAATATGTTATTTATTAGAATAAAAATCACAAACATGCTTAACGAAGCATTTTGAAAGTTGAAAATGTAAACATAGGTGGCAGA